GGTTGGCGGGGTCATACAGGTGTCTTAGTTGGCGGTAAAAAAAAAATTCTTAATTAAGGGGAGAGCATAAAGTATCGTTAAGAGAAAGCTAAGTGTGAAGAAAGGTTGCCTATATTCTTTTGTGATCGATGGAGTTGTTAGCGGGAGGGTTTGTGTGGCTTAATCACGCCCACACACGTTTGAAAAGTCTCAAGCTTATTTCAATGAAGAATTATGTTAAGTGCTCCATTCAGAATCGAACTTTTAATCAGTACTTTTTCGTCTTCTAAATCTGGCTCATTATGTCGCTTTGCTTTTAATCTTACCTGACTGTATATTCAGAATAAATTTTGCCAACAAAAGGTTGAAAAAATCCCCAACTACGTCACAAGCAACAACAACAACAACAACAACAACAACAGCAGCAGCAGCAGCAGCAGTAGCAGTAGCAGCAGTAGCAGCAGCAACAACAATAATGAAAACAGCATAGATCTACTGCTCCACTTGGGAAAGAAAAATAATCGAAACTATGAAATGAACACAGCAAGGGTAAACTAATTATATTACTTTCTAAAGCAATATTCCAGCTTCTGTTTTGCATAAAATATGTCAATACACATGGAAAAAAAGCTGACAATCTTATCGGTGCGTTTTGTTTCTAGTGTAATGTAACATTCTCAAAAACAATATTCCTGTTTCTGATCTTTATGACTCATTGGAAGAACATGCTTTGGGTGTTATTGGAAAGCGATAATGTTTCTTGCGTTTTATGACCAACTTACTTATCTTTACAATAAGGGCAATAAACAATTCTTCCCATCTCCAAAGATTCCTTGCAGTCCGCTGGGAGAACCTTCTCATACGTTTACCGTCGTAAGAAAAGACAACACTGAAGCATTCACGAAGTAGCTGTGAACTCCTTGGCACTTGAAGAATATACTGGGCGATTTGTCTTCCAAAGGTGTAAGGAGTGGGCGAGAAGGCTGAATCCACAAACCAGACATCTGCACGGTCGTGTTTTCCGTCGCCATTTCTAAACACGTTTTGAGAAATCATAAAATAGAAGGAAAAGTGAGCCTCAAACTTACTAAAATTTAGTTTGATCTGAGAGCTAAAGAGGCAGATAAATCAATCCAACTAAAATAACATTACAAAGCCAATTACTAGGTAGGTATACGCGGATTAAGTCATCGTTTTCGAGTTTTGTGACAGTGGTATTTCTAACTGCTCTTGTGTGTGGTGTGTGTCCTCTGATCTCTGAGAATACGGCACATCAACAGACAGTGGTAACGACACACTGTGGCTTTTCATCCTAAGTGGCCAACACTCAGACGTTTCCTGTCCCTCCCCCCACCCC